CTCCGATGATAGGCGCCCGTCGCCTCCTTTCCTTCCCGCCCCCGCCAGGCCTGTGCCCCATGGCCGGGCTGATCCTTCCCCACCTCCAAGAATGCTGCAAAGCTCAGTTGTAGAAGGAAAACCAAAAAAGTTTATTTTTCTCACAAGAAGCACAGAAAATATACAGTACATTTTTACAAACGAAAGTAAAAAAAAAAAAGTGCATTATGCATCCCCTACCGCGCACGTACAGTACAAAAGATACTGCATATTTAAATATAAACCCAGAATTAACAAATACCATGAAATAAAAGGAACGTTGTTATCGCAGAGTACAGCAATGCACTGGAACAGCTACACGTTACTCACCCGCCCCTCCTCTCCGGGTCTCTGCTCACGGTCTAACCAGGACGGTCTCCCCCTCCCAGGTCGGGAGCCGGCTCCCGGGCAGAGAGCAGCTGAGGGGGACGGCAGGACGTGACCGAGCCGAAGGGCACCTTCGTGGAAAGGACGACCAGGACAGCTATTGCTACCGCACAGACCGACAGAAGCCTGGACTGGAAATAAGGTGCCAGTTTTGTGCATTTTGGGTTTTCTGGCAGAACGGGACTGGGTTTTGATTCACACCCGGCAATCGGCTGAGCAAAGCGTGGCCGGCCGGTGATGGGGCGGCTCCCCGGACAACCCCCGTCCACGTTTCTGCAGCCATGCATAGATAAATGGGGGCGCCGGGAGCTGCAGCCGCCACGGTGGCGTCTCCACGTGGCCCTTTGGTTTCGCCATGTACAGAGCGGAAGGGAAGTGGTTAGCAGTGCTGAGCTCACCGGGGATGGGAGGTCGATATGCAGAAGTGGTAACGGTCTCACTGCCACCAGAAACACCAAAAGCACCAAAAAACCAAACAAGAAAATTACCAGCAAACAGCAGAGTTGAACAGCTCAGCATAAATACACAGTATTTGTAAACTATTATTAAGGCACTCCATTGTAAAAGAACAATTACAACACGTGGGCGAGGACAAACATCTACAGTCTCATGCAACAAATCTAACGAAGTCTGCAAAGCATCGTACGTTTGGCTACGAAACCCTTCGAAATGGCACACTAGTGCTTCCAGCGCACGTTGGCTTTGAGACTGACTCCCACTACACCGTGTCTCTGTCCCGACGACGCAGCGACAGAGCCCCGGGCCCGAGGAGCGAAGCAGTGGGGTTGGTCCAGTGAGAGCTGAGTCCAAGCGAGAGGTGGGGGAAGGCGGTTTGTAGGCAGCGGAGCTCGGCAGGCACTCGAGAAAACAGGAAGGAAACGTGTAGGTTCGCTTGCATCCGTTAACGGAATTTTTCTGAATTCAGTCAAATCCAACCCTCGCTTCTTCCCTTGGCCGGGCAACGATGGGAAGTGCCTGCAGCGCTGAGGAAGGTGCCGGTGTCACATACAGCTGAGAACAGCAACAGCGCGAGGGGCCCGTGCGAGGCGAGGCCGATGATGAGTGTGCTGGGATCAAACCCACGGGCAGGGCTCGCTGGGCAGGAGGCACACGAGTCCTCCCGGGCTGCTGCTCCCAGCCCTGCGGGCACCAACCAGCCCCAGGGCCCACCGGGTGGCCCGGCTGCTTGCCTGCTCTCAGAAATCACAATCTGGGTGTAAACAAGGACACTAAAGCTGACACAAACATAGGAAATTTATTGCAGTAGATGTGGACGCGCACCCCCGGCACACCAACAGCGGGGATGGAGGGTATTTCAGGCTGGCTCTAAACACGACCCAGCGTTTTCTCAGCCCTACAAAGCAAAGACTTGTGCACATTTCCCAGGGTTCCCTCACGCAGCAGCTTCTGCTTCAAACCAGCTTTCACGGGTGAAACAGGCTGAGTGTGCCTTAAGCTACAAACGTACATCAGACTGAAGACTCTCTAAGGAGGGACATTTATTTACTGATTGCCAGTCCCTACAACTCCTCTCATTTGACAGAAAAACGCGGGGTCTTACGCTTCAGGAAAAAAAGGTAAACTCTGAGCATTCAGGACATCAAAACACGCGTCTCCCTTCCTCAAGACAGCGGATTTTTGATTAATACAGACTCCAAGAACAATTGCTTGCAGCCCTACTCTCTCCCTCACCTCAAAGCCAGGATTTTTAAGAATGGCTTTTGACGGAGATTTCAAAAGGCAGGAGAGCTCTCGCTCATCACAGCCTGGCTGTTCACTGAGCAAATCCATCCCTCTGCCGTCGCTGACCTCCGAGATCTGTTTTGATCCCCAAGCCTGCTTCAAAATACCGCCCCGAAGGCACGAGCAGCCAGCACGGTTTCAGACGGGACTCAAAGAGCACCAAGGTTCGGAGCACGTCCCCCCACACGCTTCTCAAGCTCTTCCCTCCCACCTGGGCCAGGGCATCTCGCACAGAGCAGTTCCTGACCTGGCTGCCTGCCCAAAATATTCTAAGAAAACGTGCATTTCGTATGGTATCGCTGAACTGCTGCATTTCACTCATCTCCCACAGCAGGACAGCGAGGGGAGGAGCACACGGTGAGACGGGTCCCCGAGAGCCAGACTCTAGCACGGGAAGGGACGCGCTTCCTCGGCTACGACCGCTGCCGAGCACGCAGCACCACGGGCGCCTCGCCGAGGGCGAGCACGGGCAGCTCCCTGCAGGTCACGCCAGCTTTCCTCTGACAGATGTCACCCACGCCTTCAGTATCCCTCTCTCTCTCTCTGAGTGAGCCTGTATTTTTTCTGTTTGACCGCTCACCGCGAGGGATGCGCCCCCCGAGAGCAGGATTTATGCTTCTGTCACCCCTGGCAGGAGCCTGGCGCAGCCCTGTGAGAGCTGGGACACGGACACCCAGGCTCCCCGCTCTGGGGCCACCCAGCCTCCTGACACCCGGTGTAAATCACCCCCCGGGCTTTGTCAACAGCTTCCCAGGCCGCTGGCAAGCCGAGGAGGCAGGAACTGTTCTACCCAAACCAACAGCGAGAACGGGAAAAGACACACGTTCACCTATTGCCTACTGGGGTTTCGAAGGCGTGGGACACCGGGAGAGCCGTCCCTCCTCGGCCACCTCACTGGCACAGCGTTGTCACCGACAGCGCGCTGCAGAAGGGTCCCCGACACAGGATCCACGACACTGACACAGCGTTACACAAAGCTTCACTGGGGTCCACGGTCACTTACTGGCCAGGCTCGCCACTAGTACTGGGACATCACAAACCACGACGACAGCAACACCACCCAAACAACACGCCGCCTCTCCACATGAGCATAAGCCTGCGACAGCGACACGCTCCGGGCGTCCCTCCGGCACCATCACGGGACACTGACAATTCACCGGGTCACACAGCGAAGACGGACGAACACCAGCAGGTCACAGCCGACACGAACACAGGTCGATACTCCTTCACTTCACAGCAGGTCGCTCGGGGTGATAAAGCCTGTCTCCACGCTCCTCCAGGCCTTGACAGTTAACATGAAGGGAATACCTTCCAACAACAGCAAGAAAAGCCTTTTTTTGGAAAACAAACCCCAACAACAAACCAAAACGATAAGTCAGCAAGAACAGAGGTAGCGTTCATGTCACCATTTTAAGGGTTTTTCCACAAGTGCCCTGTTTTAACAAGAGACTTGTGTGTCTTCTGTAAAAAAAAGGTCATGACTAATTATTTTGAGTCTTTGAAACAGAGTATTTCAGCATTTTATATAGATAGATCGATAGATAAATAGATAGAGATATCTATCCATCTATACACACACAAACCCACATTGTTAGACTTGGCAAACAGCACTAGGAACAGCACCCTGCAGGACAACAGGCGATTCACACACAAAGTCCTCTTCTAAGCCATGCAACACATTTTATTTTCCCTTGTGCCATTCACCATGACCCATTACGGTTATTTCCTCCCCACTCAAGCGTCCAAGGAGGGGAAGAAGAGGTGGCATCAGATGAACTACTGCAAGTCAGATGATGAAACTGCATCGGTGCAATGAATAAATGCTGTAAAAACCCCAAAATCCAGCCCCCGACTCCCTCCTCGCAGAAGACATCAACTTTTGCCCAGCCAAAGCGTGTTCTTCAAGTTCCCGGCCGCTGACTTCGCCGCCAGTGCAGAGGTGCCGCCTGCGCTCCTCAGTGTGGATTGTGGCTCACAGAGCACGGAAGACTCACTTGAAACGGCCTCTTTTGAGTCCGTGACGGTCGACACATCCATGTCGCTTGATAAGTCCTCAGAGGACAAGTTAAGACATCCGAGCTTGGCGAGGGAATTGGACCTTTTCAGAGGAGAGGACACAGTCAAGCCAGCCAGCCGCAACCTGGTCTCAATTTCCTGAGTCCGCTGCTTCACCAGGCCGGGCTTGCCCCGCACGCTGTGGATACTGTCGCTGCTGGAGCTGCGCGTCAGGTTGGAGCTCCGGGAGGAGGAGGGAGTGTAGCAGATGGTCTTGAGGAAGTCCTTGGTGAAGCTGCTCGTGTGCTCCAACCGACACACGACAGGCGTGGAGGTTTTCTGAGAGATCCCCTCCAAGACGCATTTCACCTCTAACTTCTCCACCTCGTTTTCTGCACCTTCGGGTATCAAGGGGGCTGGGCCCAGAAGCGGTACGAGGCCGTGATGGGAAATCAAAGCCTCGCTTTCCTCCACGATGCTGGAGTCAACTCTGCTCAGGGGGTTCTCTCTGAGCAGCGACGAGGCGACCGAGGGCAGGCTCCTCAACCGCTCCAGCTCTTTGGTGTGCTTCCTAACCAAGCCCGCCTTCTGCAGCTGAATCAGAGACTCCTGATGCTGCATCAAGTAGCTGTTGGCACTTGGCTTTTCCAAGTCTTTGCCGAACAGCAAGTACTTCAGATCCTTGGTAGGTCTGCCATCTTTTCTGGCTAGAGACTCTTCTTTTACCACTTCTGCATTAAGGAAGCTCTTGTCACAGTGCGAGTTTCTCCTGAGCAGCCGAGTTTTGACCGGGGTTTTTGGTGCATCTTTTCCTTTCTCCAGCAAAACGGTGCTGCAGTGTGGATCGAGTGATTTGCAAGTGCCAGCCTCCAAAGCACCCGTTCCTGCCGACAGGGGAAGCGGAGCCTCGTCGTTTTTAGTTCTGATGGCTTCCTCCGAGGGTGCCTTGCTGGGCAGGTGGTCCGCCAGGCCAGAATGGATGTGGGAGAGGAGGGCCGGCTGCGTGCAGATGGTGGCGGTGCGCCGCGCCGCGCTGGCGTTCAGCTTTTCGCACTGCTCCCCAAAGGGGTCAGGAGACAAACCGGCCGAGGAATACATGCAGTCGGCGCAAGACTGATAGGAAGGCTTGACCTTACTGAGGATCCCAAACACGGCATCGTGCTGCAAAAAAGAAAACAGGGACAGGTAAACGTGCACGGAACAGGCCAGCGGCAGTCAGCGGAGCGAGGGACACAGACCACAGATACTGTTACAGCCAAGCAGATTCGAAGCGAAGCCCATTTCCACTTCTCTTAAGGCCCTGCAGCAGGAACAAAAGCCACGTACTACCTCAGCAGCCGGCAGCTGCGACGGAAGAATACCTACCGGTTCAAGCGACGGTCATGCAAGCGAGTGGCCCAAAGCAGTTTACAGGGCACTCGCACGCGTGCGCTCTCTCTCTGGCAGCTAAATCCATAGCTTGGGCAAGCAAAGCCATGTTCAGAAGCACTTCGAAAAGGAAGCAGCTCATCATGGAATGAAAGGCTTTATCCAAGTCAAATGAAACTGTGCTATGAAGATGAGAAGAGCAGTTTCACTTGCAGTAGAGTCAGCCATGCTAATCACCTACATTTCAACTCCATACGCACCTCAAAATCCTCTGGGCAACTCCTTTTGCTGTTGTTGTTATTCAAGTTCTCTCTATTAAGCCTGCTCTCCTCCTTGTGCACCGACAAACGCCGCTTCCACTTCTCCATCGGATTTTCCTCCCTCACACTGTCCTCCCCTGGGTCCCCGGGGCCCAGCACTATCCTTCCCTTCCGGGGACTGAAGTCCAGTTTCTTCTTCACCTCCTTCTCGCAGAAACCGCTCAGCTCTGCCAGTGGCTCTGCTGTCTCCAGGGCTTTTGCCGTCTCCAGCAGCCTCCCCTCCGAAGGTGCAGACGGCGGCTGTCCCACCAGTGAGACAGCGCGCTCCGCAAGCGCGTCCCGCTCCAGCTCCTCCACATGGAAAAAGCCCTCCCTGTCACCGGGAATCTTGTTCTCCAGCAGCGTGTCCGAGAGGCGACGGAAGCAGTAGTTAAACCCCACGGACACCTCCGTGCCGGCGCGGTTGTCCAGGTACGCCGACTGCGAAGGCGTGTCCAGGTCGGCCAGGCGGTTTTCTAGGTCGATGTCCAAGCTCTCGAGCAAGAAGTCGCTCGAGCCCGTGGTGCCGTCGGTGTGCTGGGGTAGGTTGCTCTCCGCCTGCTGCTTCCACAGCTTATTGTGGCGCTGCTTGCTGGGGGAAAGGACAAAGACACGAGTGACTATGGTTGAACCGTCGGACGCTCATTTCCAGGAACGTCCCTCCCTCTCCACAACCCAGAACCCGAAGGTCGACCGCTGGGTCCAGCCCTGCAGTTCCACCTGGGACAAAACCATCTTCAGCCTCAGGATTCTGTCCCTCCTGCCTGCCCACTCCAGAGCCTCTGGCCCAGCAGTGCCCTGCACCGCGCCCATGACGGGAACGGCCCTAGGCAGGAGTCCCTCAGGGCAGAGGGGCGCAGAGCCTCCCCCCATCAGAGCAAAACACTCTGAAGCAATATCTCTGCGTGCCTCATGGCCCATTTTTTTGAACCAGAGTGAAAAATTTCCCTCCTCTTCCCCCAGCAGAGCAGAAGCCAAGCGGAGCACGCAGAAACTCTCATTAGATACTACAGCGCTTGCCACAACAGACTAGTGATTGGCATTGTCACCCAGAACGGCAAACGATTTGCCTCCAACACTGGCCAAGCTCAGTTCTGCCTCATAAAACAAGAACAATGTTTTGCTGAACAGTACTGGCTGCTGAGAAACACGAACATGCTCCCCAAAGGCAGAGAAACCCTTGCTGGATTAAAGCGGAGCAGATCGCCCTAGAAGACGGCTAATTTCCATCCAGGGAGGCTCGGCGTAGAAAAGGTTTAGAAAAACACCATTAGCCCAGGGTTCTGCATCGGCCCTTCCGAAGAGAAGCCTTCAGGCCACAGCACCACGTTCACTCTGCCAGCACGACACACGCGTGTGCAAGACCTCAACGGAAAACCCTATTGCCTGAGCGGAACTCCGTGGAGATCAACTAGTATTGTGAGACACAAAACCACGAGAGGTTGCCCACAATCAGCTGCTTTACGTCCTGCAGGTCACCTTTCTGTTCACCCTGTCGCCTTACCTCGCATCCAAAATGCCTTCATATTCCAAAAGCTGTCTCATGAAGCCTGCGTTCGGTCTCGCGATGCTGCGTTTTTGCTTCACGTAATTATAGGCCTTTTCCAGCGACCAGCCAAATTCCTTCATGGCATAAGCGATCACCGTCGAGGCTGACCGGCTCACACCCATTTTGCAGTGCACCAGGCACTTGGAGTGATTCTTCCTGCAGAAGGACAAACAGGAAAATCCGTCTCATCTTCCCGGTTATGGTATCTGTCGTGACCTTTTTACACGGCTGAGGGACAGCGCTCTGTCCCCCCGACCACCCTAACACCACGGCTCAGTAGGTGAGAAACGTTTTGGATTAAGTGGCCCGTGAGAAAAACGTCTCTCCAGAGAAGCTGGGAGTTAAAGAAGGGCCTCCTCAGTCACGCTGCCACTTCAGAGACCACTGTGAAGCCTCCTGCCTGCCCGAGTCTTTGCACACATGGACAAGCAGGAACAACCTGAGTGTAAAAGCCCAGCAGAGGCTGACGGGCTCTGTCACCATCTCTTGTCTGCAGAGACAGCTGGGGCTAATCCAACACAGACACGGTTTGGAGGATTTCCAGAACTTCTTGAGAACAGGAAATGTCCTCGTTTCCTTTTGGAAGCAAAACAAAATAATAATAATAAAAAATATGATAGGCTAGGAACAGGTTAATGCCAGGACAGGAAGAGACAGGGCACGGGGAAGCGCCAGGGACACGGACAACTCCTGGCCAAAGCAGTAATGCAAAAGCCCCTTCGGTGGTGGCGCGGCTCCAGGAGGGCCCAGCTCCAGGCTGGGTGACACCCCCAGGGCCCGGTGTCAGGCCCCGTGGCTCAGGTGTGCCCTCCCCCTCGGTCCCACCTCCCAGCGCACTCACTTGGCCTTGTTTATGAAGTGGTAGGCCTCGTTCCAGTGAGCCAGGAGGTCCGTGGTCTCCTCGTCGTACACTCGGATATTGTGATACGCGAACAAACCGGGGAAAAAATTATCGATTTCCCTGGTCACGTTCAAGATGTAGTCGATGCTGTGGAGAGCAAAAGGAAAAAATCCAGCTGAACTGCCGCCGTGGCGAAAGAGGAACCGACAGAGCTGGTGAAGCGCACCAAGTCTGACGCGACACGAGCGCTCAGGTTCTACCCACTGCCTTAATCCCGAACCCCTGGGGACACCCGGGGACACGGGGGCACAGGCATGACGCGCAGGGCCTGTCCGCTCCCCCACCTCTCACCCCCAGCGTGCCCCATTCAAAGCATCGAAAGACCTCGGGCGCAGGAGGGAGGAGTTTACGTTATCCCGTCTGCCGAGGCTCTGTCACCTAACCAGGAACACCTCACCGCGCGCCACGCGCAGCTTCTGGGGCGCTGAAGAAAAGGGGATCAGCTGCCAGCGATTCGTTTGGGCAAGAGCTGGGAGCAGACCCCAGGAAGGACAACTTTCAACTGCAGGCTTTAGCTGCAAAACCATCCTTTTCTCTGCTTTCTGACCAAAAATATGAAATGAGAGTCACATGGCATCTCCCGATTCCTGCCAAATATTACAGCAGGGATTACAATGTACCCGGGGAGAACGAATGCCCACATGGATTTATCACCTCCTGTCGTTCAGACAAGTCAAGGACATGGGATATTTGTTCCAGAATTTGTCCAGCTTTGACTTTTAGACGCCGCACGTCAAGATGCCTCCCCGTAGATCAGCAGTATTAACGCGCTGGTTGAGTTACTTGTTCAAAGACGTTCAGACATCTGTTCCCAAGGATTCCAAACTAAACATTTTCAGTCATGCTGTTGAGCAATATTTTTCAGTTTCTCACATCAAGGTTGGTGTGTGCCTTGGGCAAGCAGCAAATATTTATATGTAAAATTCTCACTCGTCCAAAAAGCGTGGAAGTAAATCAAGCCAAGAAGTGCTGCGGTGATGAGAGCGTGGTGAAAGACAGCCCTGCAGCTGCCTGTCTGGGCAGGTGAGGTGGAGATTGCTCATCCACAGGAAGTTCTGCTCCATTTAGATAGAGTTTTTCCTAAGCTTAGAGCTGTAATATTTGCTCTTCTGCAGCCTGCAGGAATTCACACCTGACACAACAGTATGCACGGCCATTTCACGCTCCGCTGCTACACACCGGAGGGTTTCGGAGATCTTGATGGACTTCACAAACGAGGAGTTTTGTTATTTTCACTGTACATGTTATTGATAGAAATGAGGCAGGGAAGATTTCTTGACCGAGTTACCCACATGGCTGGGAACGGGCCCAGACTCATCCCTACAGCCCACAAACGTCCTATGTCACCTCCAGAGACCTGAATGTAAGCTAAAGGCAAACGGCCGGAGGTTTCAGAGCCTGAGGCTGGTGCTTGAAAGGCGCAGTACTCACCCCGAGCCCTGCAGCTCCTCGAGGTTGGAGGCGTTCCACTCGGACCCCTGCAACAGCCACAGAACACACATTTCAGAGGAGCCCAAGAGCCTCCCTTTTGCCGGAGGTTCCGCAACCCCCCAGCCTCAGCAAGCTTCTGAAACAGGAATATGGCACCAGGGCAGCCAGCCCCGCAGCTCGGCGCAGAGCTGTCCTGTCCTGACCAGGCAGGGACCTCCCGACGGAGCGGACAAGGGCACGACATCCTCACCTAAGGAGTTAGTTCTAGGCCAGCGTGTGGCTGAGCACATCCCAAATCACTGCCCTCAGTCATGCTGGGTTTTTAACCACAGAGATAAATAGTGCAGGGAAAGGAAATGATTCTGTGCGGCATGACTGGGATCACAGGTAGGTAAGAAGCGGGGTAATCCTGAAAGCTATGGGGGTGGTTACACCTTGGATGCCCCCCATCCCTGCAAACCAGAAAGCTTGAAAAGGGTTTAGAAAGCAGGTTTTGCCCTCAAACATGAGCACTTCCTCTGACTCTCTCCAGACAAAAAAAAGATCCAACCGTAAGGGGCACAAATGGGCTCATCTGGAGCAAGGCTTTGTTCCGGATGGCAGTGCCTGGTTTTGCTTGGAGTACCATCTAGTGGCAAAAGATTAGACAAAACACACACCGGCCTTTGCTTCTGCCCAAGCACATCACCTTCAGCCTCACTCCTTAGGTGGTTCTGGCCTGCAGAACTTCACAGGCTCAATGGAGAAAAGCAATGCAGCGACCCTCAGCCGACCCAAAGAGCAAACGGGGGTCACGCCAGGGCAGGGCCCACAGCTGGACCTTTCGTTTGTCAGAAAGGAAAACCTCCATCGCTAGAAGGAGAAAAGGAGCGGGCGCAGAGAGAACTTGAGCTACTCCTGAAACAGCACCCACCTGCCAGGAAAACCAAGAACACCGAAAAAAGGGCTTCCCTACTGCGGGCCTTGACAATCACTAGGGGTCCTGGAGTGAAGTCCCCACAAAGGGGAGGAGGGCAGGCTGCACGGCTGGCTCACGCTGCACAAGTCAGGCTCGACCCCAAATCCAGCTTCCTCTAAGCCCAGTCACTTGTCAGGTCACTCCCACTGAGCCTCCTGCTATTCTGGAGCTCCCAACACAGCAGCTTACCAGGTATAAATGATCAAAAATCAGAGACGGTTTGTCCATCTGACCCAGGATAAGCAGCATTTCATTGTCTATAAATTCCTTGAATTCCTTCAAGTTGCAATTCATGTGCTTCTCCAGCTCATTCCGTATCTGCAGAGCAGAAAACCCAGAATCATGCCTGTTCAATAGAAACATTTGTTGGCGCTCCTTTGCCAAACGCTTTTTCTGTACTTCATTAAAAACAGCAAGAGGGATTCGACCTTTTGGAGACAAGGAATCTCACTACGTGGCATCTCTCCGAGTATCCTAGGGCCCCAAATTGAAGATCTGTAAATAAAGCTTCACATAACATCAGAGTACCAAAAAAAAAAAAAAAAAAAAATTTATTTTGGGGTACCTGCTTCATCTTGAGAGATAAAACCTAAGACCTTGGAGAGCAGCTAACCAAAAAATGTGAAACCCATTAGAAGCAAGGAGTGAATAATGTCAGCAGCATGACATCTCTCTCGGTGAAGAGAGAGACTTCCAGTGCTCTCCCACTTCAAATCGCCAGGGCACAGACCTACAGCCCTCTCGCCGCACCTCGGCTGCAGGAAGGGGCAACGCAAAGTGGCACGACTGTGTTTAACCCAGCGCGGAAAACGGCTGCAGCCAAATCAAAGCCTCCTGCCTGCCCCCAGAGTCAAGAACACGTACACAGACAGACGTGTTCTCGGCTGACGCCTACAGCTCGTAACGCTGCTGTTACACAAGAGTGTACCCGAAGCCTCCAGCGCTAAGCTCGAGGAAGGAAAGCCCTGCATGTTAACAGCCTCCCTCGAAAAACAAAAACCCAACCCAAAAAGAACTATTTCCATTTGCTCTGAGTTTATCTGCACTGCGGCTGGACGTATTTACACCAGCCTGTGGGAGGAATCCAAACTAGCTTTAGCCTTGACTTGCGATTTTCCATCCACAATCTCACCAGCAGAGCGGTGTCTGCAAGCCTCTCCGACATTTGTTCAGGAACAAACTAAAGTGAAGCCAACAGGGGAGAGGAAGGCCCAGACTTTGCTCTTCGTGAGCAAGCGCAGATCAGGACGCTCGTCCTACGTGCGCTACAACCAACTGTCATGCAGCCATCGCCTCTGATGCCACTTGGTCGGCAAAGACCAGGCGCTCTGCACCTCGAAGTCACACACTGCCTTGGAAAATGCACTGACGCTGGTATTCTGATTTCCCAGCTGAGGGAACGGAGGTACAGCAGAGCCAAAGAGCAGAGCCTTGACGCAACAGCTGGAAACACACGCTCAAAAGCCAGTGACACCCAGTCACGTGGCATCTCTTCACCAGCGCAGCACTCCCTGGAGAAGGAGTCTAGCAGGAAGGGTACGATTGCAGGAATGTTTATATTTACCTCCTTCGAAGTCACATTTTCCAAGTCTTTGCTCATCATGATGCTCCGAAGTTTGGCTTTAATGAGCCGTTCTGTTCGTTCCCTTTCAGTTGGCCTGGAAAGGAAAAGGAGAGGACGTCTCTGCGCTGGCAGCAAACACACAGGGCAACTCGTACAGTACCGAGGAGCGGCGGCAAAGACTTGTATTAAAAGCAATTTTTATAATGAAAAAAAACATTTGAAGATGTTTATGAAAAGAAAGGAAATGTGCCACTGGCAGAACGGAAGGGAGAAGGGGGGATTTCTCCAGCGAGCCACGCCAACCCGTTCTAACCAAATTCAGAACTGACTTGTCAACAAACAGGGCTGGAGAGTCGGGGCGGGTGGACTCCAGGTCCTGCATCGCGTTCCACTCGTTGATGCAGCTCTGGTCGGAGCTGATGCAGCTTTCGTAGTACGTGGCCCAGACCAAGGCCATCCCACCCGGGAAGTAGTTGTACCTTCTTGCGACCTCGCAGGCTTTATGGAGGATCTGTAGAGCAGACCTGTAAGTGTGGAGAACAAATTTGTGCAGAGGTGAGCAGCAGGAACAGGCAGAGCAGGATCTGAGAGATTTTCACAGAGAAAAAAAAAAAAAAAGTTTTTTGGCACTGTTGGTTGCAGTTTGCTTTTTTGAGAGCAGCAGATTTACTGTGTCAGAGTTCAGCGAGGGCACAAACTGCACCTTGGAGGCCTTCTCAAGAGCCAGTCCAAGGCAGAGGCTGAAATCTTCTCCTGATTAAGAGGCAAGCTCAAGGCACAAGTCGCTCTGGGATCTAATCATTAGCTAACCAGTAAAGCCAGACCAAAGGAAAATAAAGAACATGGACAATTTTCAAACCACCTTCAGCGAGGAGTCAAACGCATATTTACCAGCGTTCTTGGCCCCTGACAGGCTCCAGGGACAAGGCCCAGATTGGGTCATTTGTTTTTGCAAATTCTAGCATTACTTTTTCTTTCCTTCCCTTCTCATTTTTTTTTTTCCTTCTTTTTTTTAAGGCTCTACTCCAAAGATGTCATTGTACTGAATACACTAACCACATCTAAGGTTGCCAACAGGAGGGGCCGAGTTCAAAACTGACAGCAACAAGAGTTTCATTTGTTTCTGCACCAAATCATCCCTCGCACGACGTCCTTCTCTACATCTGTAGCTTTTCCCTACCGGATGCTGCAAGCACGGGGATCTCTCGAGGCTCCACCAGGAGCCAGCAAACTGCCCAGGCCGAAGGAGATCCATCTGTTCCGTGTGGGGCTGGGTAGCAGCCTCTTGGAGAAGGAATTTGCTGGCGCAGCTGCTGCTGATTCAGCCACCTCTGCTTCAGCGTTTTAGAATCCCGGCACACGGGAGGGGTGACAGGAGCTGAAAGGTGACCAGGCACCCGGGGCGGCCTGGAAAGCAGCCGGGCCCCAGGAACGAGGCAGAACACAGGGAATGCCATCGGATTGGCAATGGGTCCTGAGCCTCCTCCTTCAGCCAGTTCAAAAAATGTGCAAAAGAGGAAAGTCTGAGTTTGCAGCCTGAGGAATTCAAGTTGCTCTTTCACATTTATTCACCCCACTGGTGCCGTTTCCCTCACATTGAAGGGCGCGTGGCTGCGCTGAACGGGAGCAGACGATCCTGTTTTCGGATTGGGGTTCTCACAGTCCCTCTCTGTAGGACGGCTACCTGCTGGCCCAGGGAAGCTGCATCTCTGCTGCAGCTCACTAAGTACCAATGCTGGAGAATGCCAAAATGCAGGTTGTTTATTTGCTTTTAATTTATTCACAGAAATGACAGCCTCTTTCTCAACGAAGGTAATTAACACACGTACCACATGGCTTGCACCGACACTGGCTTGAAGATGTGCATCCTCCCTGCAGTGCTCACGCTGAAGCCACTAACAGAGAGAAGGAGGGAAGGAAAAAACAAAGTCAGAAACTGCTCTTCTCTGCATCACAGGCTGCACTCTACAAACAGCTACCGCAAGGCAGCTATAGGGGCACTCACAGTCAAAAAGCATCAGGGATGAGAATTTGTATCACCGATTTTCCAACATCCTCCCAAATAAGAATGGCAAGCGGACACCCTTCCCGGCGGAGGCTGCCAGGAATGGGAGCTCCACCCCTCGAGTGGGATTTCAGAGAACATTCACTGGGTATCACAGGTTCCACCGAGCAGTTTGAGGGCAGCAAGACAAAAACTCACTGTCTGAATAAGAGGACTGCAGCCATGAATCCAAAATTGGAACTTCATTTGCAAGGTGACGGAGAATCTCTCCTAGAGCAGCCCCCGAGTAGGGAAGGACATTCACATTTATCCTTTTAATGTGGTTTCTTACCCATCACCATCAAGATGGATTTTAGTATCGCTCCACAGACGAAGAACCATTCCTATAGTGCAGCTTTTACTGGAAAAGAGATTGTTATACAGGATGTTAAATATAGGCCACGCCAATATCCTCAATTATTAATACTCTTTAATTTTTAACATCCTCAAGTCTTCCTCTAGTAATTCCTAGTAGTATCTCAGGCCATCAAATGCCTAACACCCAAGGAGAGCAACAGCTGTAGTCTAAAGGTCTGCTCTGGTATTAGCACGCCAATTGCTCCACGGGGCCAGAGAAACATCACAGAAGCCAGAATCAAAACTATCCGCTCTTTCCCCCCGCCCCCAGAGCCAGCCAGCACTGCAGTATCTGCCCCATCATCTTTCCTGCTCTCCCTCCTCAGAAGCTCAGTGCAAGGCAGCTCCCCAACAGGACAGAAAAGCAGATCACAGCGACAGGGCTGCAGAGGTCCAGCCCGCGAAAGCAAGCCCTGGTAGGTGGCAGAGCAGCCGCCTGCCCTGTCCCCAGAGGACCCGAGGGGCCTTGCGAAGGCCTGTGTGTTCGGTTTGTGCTTCACCACTCTGGCTGGTAGAAAAGACAAAACAGGATCTTATGAGTTACCTCACCCGAAAGAACACTTGAATTTCAGAGATGCAACCTGGCAAGAAAACCAGTATTGTAATGGGGGCCAGTAACTTCCAACTAGTAAATAATTAAGCTACTGAGATATTACAGTTTTAAGGGGAATTGGGATGCAGACAGCAACAGCCAGTTAGCAAAGAACTTGGGTTTTGTTTTGCCCTTTTTCTTTCTTTTTTTAGCCTTCAGACGCTTTCTACAGCAGATCAAAGGATTTGACAGGCCAGTCTGAACATACATGTGGCCAATATGCACTCTGGAGCTTCGCGAGAAAGCGTGGGTTTTATTAAGCACACGTAAAAGGAACAAAACCCCCAAAAGCGCCCGACTAGTCACACTGTCAGCAGTCAGAACACTTACTGCCCAGCATTTCAGCCCCAACACCGAGCCATGGAGTCACTCGGTGAAGCCGCTAACGCCGACTGACTTTTTTGTGTGTGAGACTCGCCCTTAATGAACAAAAACTTCGGCTTTCAGGGGAGACAGCAACCAAAATGGCAGCCAGCCTTACAGTGGGGATGGATTTGTCATAACTTTTCCATCTTTCCTCTCGTCTCACATCAATAGCCACCAGGAGCAAACGATGGCAAGGTTGTTCAGACTGGAAGGTGACACAGCAAACATTCGCTGCTGTGGCACACTACGCGTGCCGTCAGGAGAGGCTACCTTAGAATTTCCTCCGTAACAGCAGTAATTTAACAACAGACACCAAAGCCAATGACAATAATCTCATCAGGACGGCACGGCTAGGAGTTTCCCTGCAGGTCTCAAGGCAGTGCAAGAGCTCCCCCCTTCCACTTAGAGCGAGGGGAACGAGCACTGAGGTTTCCCAAAAAGAAAACGAGAGTCAGGCTGGCTGCCCCAGCACAACACGGCAGCCCGCTCAACCAGCGGAGAACAGAAACGACAGCCTGGAAGCTCTGACTTCTGTCGCCGGCTCGGCCAAACTAGCCCAGGCTCTCCGAGCCAAGAGCTTTTCTGCTTTGGTTTACTCACCTAGAACTGGAATAATGTGAGAGGGTCTGTGATAACAAAAGATTTTATTTGCCTTTCAAAATATTATGTGCTCTTATCAGTTAGACAAAAGAAACAGCTCATTACTGACACATTTGTTTGTTGGTTTTGGAGGTACTTCTGCAGCATTGTTTTTTGATGTTATTTGGCAGCTAAGCCGCTACCCCCTAAAAAAACCAGCTCCATTGCATCATATCATCAACAGACTTGGAAGCCTGGTGGATAGAATAAGTTCCATTTTGCAACGGTGTCTGCAAGAGCATTTTGCAGTGAGCAGAGAGACAAGGCAGACACCACAGCCCTGCAGATGGAGTACGCATCAACGCTTTGCCCACAACTGCCCAGAGATTCCAAGGAGACCAAAAGCTTTCTGCAACAAAAATCACCCTCTCGCCCTCATAACTGGTCAGAAAACTCTACACGTGTCCTTTCTCTTGCCAGAATCTGCAGATACATGTAAACCAGCTGCTTGGGGACAGTTTGGTGTTGACAAGCTTTCCAGAGAACCCAGCCTGCCTGATTTCCAAGCCCAGCCTTGCCTTAGACATACCTCTCCTTGCTGGAGAAATCCACACCCAGCAGAATATTCTCTTCTGTGTCCTGTCGTCCGCTGCTGTATACAACTACCATGTACCGCACTCGGTCTGTCCACACACTTTCCAAACGGACCGCCTAGAAAAAGGTCATCAAGCTCTGCAAACTGGCTTTTGGATAATTAGTACTTCCATTGCTGCCTAATATTCTTTCAAGGGGTAATTATGCCCAAAAGCTTTATTTAGCTGCAGTATGAAAGACACAGGGAGAGGCGGTCCATCTCCCAGCAAGGCCAGCTGCCAGTTTGACTTGGCAAAGGGTGGGGAGAAGATTAGCCTAGATGACCTGCCCCAGTTCAGAGAAGCGCTACAAACTGTAACCGGAAGATTTGTTCTGAAGAGATCCAGCTAGAGAGCTGGTCAAAACATTGGTCACGCACTGAACCGAAAACAGAGGCAGGCTCAGAGGGGATCCTTCCACTCACAAGCTGCCACTGCAATACGTTACCCATGGAGGGGATAACCAACAGTGACTGCTCTGGAGTGACTTTTAGAGCCTCTGCAGGTGCTTTAAAGGACAGACTGGCCCCATTTGGATGCAATTTCAGGACTGACTTAAGAGTGTCCACTAGCACCAGCAAGCTCCTGTCTCCTCCTACAGCAGTGTTTGTCAGCCGTCTGGAAAAGTAAATCTAACAAAACAAACACACTTCGGACAGATCAGTTTTCTGCCCCCACTCCTGACCTGGATGTAAGGACCGGGGCAAAAGGAGTGGACAGGAAAACACAGTAGGGCTGGCAACCAGCACAGAGTCAGACCGGCTCTGAAACCTAGGATTTGCCAATGCTTTTCATGAACCTCTACAGGTCTGTTTCAAACGCCTCCAACAGAAAGGAGAGAAGGAAAATGCGTCTTTTCTTACCAGTTTGATCCTATCCTCACAGCGAAGGAGGTTGATCATCACCTGGAGGTGCTGGGGCAAATCACCTGCAGAGAAAGCAGAGAAATAATCAGAAAGGGTCTCTCGCTGCACTAGAACTGGGCAGAGTCTTGACCTTTAATGAAACTGGATGTTTCTAAGTCAAAAAATACCATTTAAGGGAGAACAATTAACTTTGCTGTCCCAGAGAATACTAACAGAAGGGAGCCTCATTAGCAGGCCGTGTGAGAACTCAACCTTAGGGTATTTGGAAGCTACCAAATATATCAAGACCACCTGCGACTGACACAAATGATGATACCCCTCCTGCTACAGCGTCACAGAGAAGACAGAAAGATCTGGGCACTGAGAACAGGGGAGGAAAGGGCAGGAGGAACGACTCTAGGTAACAAAAAAGCAGAAAAGAGAAGTTATTTTCCCCTTTGGAAAAGAACAAAGGGGAAAAGAACAAACTTTGACTTGTGAAACACACACCACATCGTGGGATCAGCCCCGCTGGCCTTATGGAGGGTATGTCTGAACAGGAGAACTCCCGAGGAGGACGGGCTGCGGGAGCGGCCCAGGTTGGGTGGTGGATCCCTCCTACCTCAAAACGCTGCTCACACAAGTCCCTTGGGCTCTAGAGCGGTGGGTACATTTCTGTGTGGCCAAAGCAAGCAAAAGGAACACTGCATCCATAAGAAAACAAACCAAGTTCACATCTAATAACTCCGTAATGCGCTCATAACTTCCCATACAAGATAAAATTCCTTCCGTAGGATGTGTGCTGGGTATATGAAATTGCTGACAACTAAAGAAAGCCAAAGCCAAGCTTGGCATTCAAACACCCTCTTTGTGCTTGGAGTGTTTACTAAGCAGCAGACACACAGTACCACACTGTGCCTTTCCCACATGCTCCTGCTCTCCAAATGCCCCAATGATCTTATTTCTTCTTTCCCCAGCAGTCACTTATTCCCAAACTGTCACAGACAGAAGGCATAAAACCACTAGGGAAGTAGAATCCACTTCCCCGAGCCCCCTATCTGCTTATTGAGCCTTATGTATGTTCTCCGTACAACTCCCTACCGTTTCTTCCTAACAGTTTGGCACACTGGTGGGGACTGGGGGAAGGAAGACAGTCTTTCTTAAACCATGATAAACTCTCACAGGCCAGATTACGATGAGTTAACTGAAAAGGGGATTTTCCTGAAACCAGGAAAGGGGATATAAGGAGCTAAGAAACGTACATAAAAATCTATCCAGAGATCCAAATCCTGTTAAAACGTTCCTCACTCTTACTGGCAACATCAAACAAAACCAGCAACAGGTAGTTTCAAAACAACAAATGCTCTCAGCCGGCACCGAAAACCCCAAGCTTCAGATTACTGGAGGCTGGGAGAGCACTCGGAGAAACATCCCTGCTGTGCCGAATCAGGACCTCGGGAACCACAGGAGAGGTGCTAGAGCCCTGTGACTCAGCCCGTCCAATTTTCCTCCCCACAGGCCAAAGGGGAAGGCAAAGATCAAATCACTGAAGCACAAGTGACATTTCTTCATCTGCGGCTGTGGAAAACAAGGACACATACTCAGCACAGACCTTCTGGCTCAGCAGGCTTCCCTGCCTGAAGAATGCCACGCTGAATGCCACCATGTCTGCAGAGAATAAATTCCTACTCCAGTTACAGTTCCGAGATAATGACAAAAGTTTGAGCGAAGACTCGATAATCATACGTTCCCACTCCAATCAAGTGGGCTGAAAACCTGGTTTTACTCGGCAGGTTGTTCGAGACCCACTGTGGCAATTAGAGGAGTCATCCACCCACCCACGCGTGCTATTAGCCTGTCCACACGGACGGGGTGAGCAGCAAAGCAAGAGGAGGGGGGAAAAAAGAATTTCAGTAGGTGATTTAATCCACTACCTGCATGTTTGTGAGGATGCTGGAGACTTCGCTGGCCCTGGGAGCTGTTTCCTTGCTGTAAGAAAAGGGCTGCGCCTTTCACCATGAAAAAGCTCTCGCTTAGGCTGGAAAACAAATGACAGAGGAAGTCAACTGAGAGGAAATATCAGCAAAACGCGTGCTCAGGTCCGTACGCCTAGGGAAGGAAGGGCTTCCCCTCGCTAAAACGTAGTAGGATTTAGCCATAAGAAGCTGTTCCCAAAGTTTGATCCTGCCACTCGCACAGCATGGCTTTAGGATTGTTCATGGATTATTCATGTGTCGTTTCCCACCAACATTTTATTACTTGGCCATTGCAGGAGATACTTGCCTGAGCTGTCATGGGCTGGAAATGACTTTATCATTTGATTATCAAATTCTGCAACTTAAAAACAGTAGAGGGTAAGACTTTTTACAGGCTTAGACCTGTAAAATGACTGAAGATCAGGTTCCGAGTCAATCAGTTCCTACTAATTTCAGTTCTTGCAATTCCTTTGGAATGCAAAAACAAGAACGCGAACCAGAAATCGCCTGCAGATTTAAAGAGGAAGGGAGGGCAGACGAAACCTGCGCATCACAAGCGAAAGGAAACGGCGCTGAAACCTCGGGGGAAAAACCAGCCGACACAATAGCAGAGCTTTTGCTTTGCTCTGGCTGGAGACAGCCGCCCTGGCAAACACCACCGATACGGCGGCAGGTCGCAGTTTTGCAAACGCCAAACGCCATTTCCACGGAGCCAAACGCCACCCAGGCCCCAGCACGTAAGCGAAGAGCAGGCTGAAGGAAAGCAGGAGTTAGGGCAAGCACCAGCACAAGCCTAACGACACGGCACCGTACGGCACTCGAGCGTTTTCGAAACAGCCTTGGATGTAAGTGGTAAAGTGAGCATTTCCCACAAGGCTGAAAATCAACATCTACTAAACTACCTTTTAGTTGCCACAGTAACTGCTTACACCGCATTTCCTACCCCGCTCGAAACACCACAAGAGACATCCCTTGTTACAAAGCCCAATTTTCTGCCGCCCTACGCTTCCAAACATAAATCACCATTAATTACTGCCTCCTGTCTACTAAATATAAATGCTCCATGACGAGATTGCGCTACACGGGAGTTACTTGCGCTACAGCAAATGATCCCACAGGAGTTACTCCTCCCAGCACTTGTCTGTTCCACACTTTATCTGAGGTCTTTGCCTTTGGGCAGAAGTGAGCACCAACGCTCCGTTCTACCTTACTGTTTTTGTGAAGACAGACAGGAACTTCATGTCTTTTCAGCTTTTGCTGCAAGTCCAGCTTTTCTCTTCTCTGAGAGCACAGCCAAGGCTCCCAGACAAAGCTTCCTCCCTTTTTAACTCAATCTTCAAGGTGCAAAATTCCCAGAAAAACTGGGATCAGCTTTAAATTTGAGAGTTCAGCTGCTTTTGAAAAGCAAACTAAAATTTTCGCCTAAGTTCCAGGCTCCACAAGTCATGTATCAGATCAATCCAACGCCAGCAGGACAACTGCACTCTCATTAAAGCGAGCTTTTCTCCACTTACGCTCCCACAGTATTCTAGGACTCACCCCGCGCTTCGCTGGCAAGTTGTGCCTGAACAGGAGCCGTGCAGAGTTTGCTTGTGATCCGAAACGCCGGCTCTGCTCTGCCTGGCAACGGCAAGAGTTTCTGCAAACGGGAATGTGGTTCATTCCGCCAGCGAGCCAGGAAGAGTCTTGCTTCCTTCACACGCCAGATCTCACAGGAAAGTGTTAAAAAGGCCAGGAGCTACACAAAAGCAGGGCCACCAGCACAACGTATAGGATATTCTGCCAGATACCAGCTCCACGCACACTCGTCTGTTTTGCTACCAAGAGGAAGGGAATGGTTAGATAACGCACGAGGAGATAATTCACAGTATTCCTGGCCCAAGAATTTTGAGAAATGTTTCTTTGGAGAAGTGAAAAAATATCCCCAAGGATATTCTTTTATCCCTAATGAAGCACCGACTGGGATTTCTACAGCAGGAAAAACCCTGGAAGAGACAGAGCTCCTTCCCAAAGGCATCGGTAACTCCTGCTCTGACGGTTCCTCTTGCCTGATGTCCTCCGCTCTGCAGCCAGGAAACCTTTTCCAGTAAAGCAGGGTATTCCCAGCAGCAGGCAGATGGGAAGGCTGCGCTGCAGCAGCAGAAAGCGATGGCAGGAACAGGACAACCCACGTAGCAAAATTTTTGTCACCGTGCATCCACCTGCACGGCAATGAACCGGCAAGGCAAGCCAAAGAGCCTGCTGAGAGCAAGGTTTCTTTTTTAACTTAAATGTTTCTTTCCTAAACGGCACACTAACCTTCCAAGCGCAGCTTGCCACACGTCAGGCTGCCCGTACCCCCGCACTGCCCGCGCTCCCCGACTGCCACACAAGCTCCCATTTCCCCGCGACCAGCACGGTGCCGTGCAGAGGTAACGCGTCCAAGTGCCTCTTTGCAAAAGCTCCTGTTTCACACCATACCAAACCAGCAACACCACCCGGCACCATCCCTTATGTCCACCCTAGGAACGCTCTTTGCTCTCAGTCATTTCCTACAACTGCTCTAAAAGACAGCTAACAAAAGAAAAGTGAGGAAAAGGCAAGGCATGATATTCCAACCCAGTTTTAAAAAAGCCCTTTTAAATCTTGTGGTTCCAGTAAGTACACAACTAAAACTCCAGCCTTTTAAAAAAAAAAACAACTCCTAAACAGAAAAATCCTATCATTAAAAGAACGTCCCCAACTTTTGACCCTCAGCAGCAGTGATAAATGCCCTAGTAAGCAGCATTTGTTAGCAGCATAAAAACGAGTGGCTTATACATACTAATTTGGACTGGTTTTCTTTGAACAGCAGAAGCATTGTGCTGGCCCAAGAGTCAGACAGAAGTCAGTAAATTCGAAAAGATTCATAACTAGCTGTAAAACTCACATCCTTTTGCTTCTAAACCCATAAAAGAAAAGAAGGAAAAGAAAAGGTTGACCGTATATTCTGTGCAGAGCAGAGAAATCGCCTCTGTTGATGCTACCCAGGAACTGGATGACTTTTACAGAACACTGTGTCTTCCACTGATATCCTGGCTTGAAAAAGCACTTGTCCTAACATATCCTGATGAAAGAGGGCCATTCAAGAGGGGAAAAAACCAGCTGAGGCTCGTCTAATCGCTTCCCTCCTCCAGACTTGTTTGTTTGTTTGCCTCCTCCCGCATGCTCCGAAGGCAACGCGGCGCCTATCGGCAACTGCAAAGCGAAGCAGCCCGTCGCTGTAGAAAGTCTGTATTCCCTGGGACAGGACTAGAGAAAAAGCATCGTATTGACTCATGCCTGTTCATTTCCTTACTATTAAAACACTGTGCCCCACCACTGTACCGCAGAGCTGACAAAGGCACTAGCTGTCAAACGAAAATGCTTCTTCACTTACCGTACAGCCACCACGGTTTGATTTTCAGAGCGACTTGCGAGTTACTGAGCCACTACTGAACAAGAAAGTCTTTCAGGGGCTTGGTTCTTACTCGTTAGCGGCTGGCTATAACCAAATTCACACAACACTTGTTTCTTACAGACCCCTGACTAATTCTTTCTTGAAGCACAAACCATAATGACACGCTCGCGTTTCACCAGCACCGCTAGCCTAACCAGGGGGAGAAGCAGCTTTCTGTCCCGTTTTCACCCGGCCCGCCTGGCATGCACCACAGAAACCACCTTTTCCCTGGATGCCCCTCCAGGAATCCTGACCAGCCCAGCTACTCGACAGGAGTCACTTCAGGCTCCCAAACAAATGCAGAGCTCATGAGCGTTGTTACAGCCCCAGGCCCCTGGTGCTCCAGTACAGCTGCAGGCCAGCCCTCCTTCCACTCCATCACCTCAGCTTCCCAAACGGATGGACTAACCCCTTAAGGGAGGTAAAAACCTGTGCTTACGTGCACCTGGGGAACACCAGGAGTGTCAGCAGGAGGGTACAGACAGCTACTGTGCTTTGCTGTTGGTAAAGTGGGGGCCCTTCTGCACCCAGGGGGGTGGCCCCCAGGGACTGGCGAGGAGAGGGTGCTTAATGGCCACAGCACCGCTGAGAGTGGACTCCAGCGTCTCTTGCTTCACCATCCCCTGCGCCATCCGTTGGCTCTGTGCTGCTCAACTTGAAAAAGAAATATTTCTTCCCCTTTGGGAAAGCTCCAGAAGAGCGGGGCTGCACCACACATCAATTACATCTCAAGTTGCTTACGAACACAATAGGCAACGCCTTTGAATCGTTACAAAATGCCGCCCCCCCGGGTCCACAAACGCCAAGAAGCAATCTGTTAAAAATACTGGGTTTCGGAACAAGAGACAGAGCTGCTCGCGTTACTGGACAGCCAGAGCGAGCTGGAAGCCAGCTGCCACTTGCAGAACAATCTTCCCTAAGCAGCTTGCTTTGCCATCGTGGCACAGCCCGTGGTGTGAAACCGTGTCTGCCTCCAGTATTCGAGTTCCCTGTTCTAATGGGAAATCTCACATACGACATACATCACCTTGCAGGGCACAAGAAAACACTCTATCAATATATCTTATAGCTGCATAACTCATCTCAAAATAAATACCCATACACATAAATTAGGAGAGAGAAAACCACTTTCCCCGGAAAGACACAGCCAAGCCTGAGGTTGATTCAGCAGCCTCTTACTAGTCTAAGAATTAAAAAAAAATAGTATTGAGTTAAAAGAGGCAGAACACACGGGTATCCCTGCCGCTCCCAGAACGGCCGCAGGATCGCTCGGCGCAGGGGATGCCCAAGAAGCCTGGCTTACCACCACGCCTGCAACGACCCTCAGTGCTCCTGGAGCCGTGATGAACTTGTTATCTTCACGTTCGCCCCCGATCACAGCCGAGAAGCCCATTTAGTGCAAGTGCCGTTCAGACCTGCTTGCTTACGGCTCTATATCCCTGCCGCTCCCAGAACGGCCGCAGGATCGCTCGGCGCAGGGGATGCCCAAGAAGCCTGGCTTACCACCACGCCTGCAACGACCCTCAGTGCTCCTGGAGCCGTGATGAACTTGTTATCTTCACGTTCGCCCCCGATCACAGCCGAGAAGCCCATTTAGTGCAAGTGCCGTTCAGACCTGCTTGCTTACGGCTCTACTCTTAGAGCTATTTTAGTGCCGAGCTCCCGTCGTGAGCAAGGACAGACTTCCACTCTCCCTGGCTTTGCTTTGCATCCTCCCCGGGGGTATGGACAGCCCTGCACCCAGTCAGGGGCAGGTCCGAGGGCAGGGAGCAGAGAGGGGAGGTGCTCCTCGCCCACCCGGGCACAGGCTGTCCTCAGGAGCAGCCCGGCATCACCAGAGGACCGAGGCACGTGCACATGGTGGGTCTCAAAGCTTGCTTCGGCTAATGTTTGGAGCTCACCTCTGCCTGGCTGTTACACAGAAGTTAGACCCTCCTCTCCCAAAGAAATAGTATTCCTTTCAACATATCTGCTCCCACCTGAAGCCTTCTCTGGTTCCGTTTAACCTTTCAGCTCTCACATTGTTGACCTGTCGCACGCTTGTACAGCTCGGGCGCAGAGCTACACGTTCCAGAAAAGCTCTGCAACGAAGCCTTGCCCAGGCACAGAGCCACCAGCTCCCCAGGCACTAAATCTCTGTCAAATTAAGTTTCTTAATTTCCCCCTCATTAATGGAACAAAACGTATGTGTGGTGCAGGGGCAGAGAAGGTCATCTATCCGTCAGGGCTGAGCCAGAGCGCTCGGGGGACAGCGATGGCCCCTGGGCTCATCTGACAGCAGACTGCCCGGACAGCAGCGTGGGAGCAGGACCACCCCGAGCACCCACCAGCGCCACGGCTGGAGCAGGCATGCTTGTCCTGCCCTCCCTACCCACTGACCTCTCCCCAGGCCCAGAGGAGCTGCCTTCCTGCAACCAGGTCCATGTTTTAAGTGGGGAAAAAAAAAAAAAAAGAGCAATATTCTCTCAAAATTGGTGGCAATTTTACAAAGGCATGAACGGGGTAGTGCCTCCCAGTTCCTTGGGGTTTTATGGCATCTTCTGCTCCAAACATTTCCAAACTGATAAGGTGACGAAAAAAACAGGCCTCCCAAGCGCCACAGAATTAAACACACTTCCCTTTTCCACAGCCCCTTTGATAAGGAGGAAGAGAACTGATTTTTTTTTTTCTCCCCTTTTTTCCCTCCCCCTGTTTTCTGCTCAGTCTGGAAAAAGCCCAGACACCTCATGGCTATTCAGCAAGAACACAAAACGCAGCCCTGAAGCGGGACCGAGCCAGCCCCCTCGGACGCTCCCGCAGCCTGGCCAGGCCCTCGAGGTGCCAGAGGGTGGATTTTAAGCCAGGGCACCGCCGCAGCGAGCCAGAAGGCCGTCACGCAGTCATACCGAAATAGCAACATGAACTCAACTGGAAACGAGCACATCAAATGGAAAGGAAGATGCGGGGAGAGAAACAGCAGGAAGACGAGGCGGCAGCTGCGCGGCCCCCGCTTCCCGAGCCACGCCGACAATCCCGGCACACCGCCTGCTTGCTTTGGCTTGATAGGAGGCACATCAGATAACGCTTCCTGACCGAGAAAGGGGCCGGCAGAAGGGGTCTGAGCAACACAAACCCAGTGCCAGGGAAAAACGGACTTCAAAGCTACCCGCTCGCGTGCTACCGCACAACCTGAGAAACAGAAACGGGAGCCTTTAAAAGGGGCAGCGGGTCAGCTCGCATGCTTTTCACAGAAGCACTTCGTGTGCTACCAAGCGGCCTTTGCCACGCAGTCAAGTGGAGTCTGGTGCCACAGAAAGATTAAAGGAAACATAAAGGAATGACCTTTACAAATAGAGCTGAGGGTATCGCCACAACCATCCCTGCTTAACTCGAGAGGGAGCAGGCTGCCGCGCAGAGGCCGAGCAGCTCCCCATGCAGCAGGGCCAGGACAGACCCAGCTTCAACACGTGCAGGGCTGTTCTAGAGCCAAGCGCTATCACATACACGTGCAGGCTTTGATAAATGGACCTGCGATCAGAGCGGCAGGTGCCCACTACACCTGCTATGGTCAGCGAGAGCACGGGTCAGCGTCAGCTCTACCTCTGCTGGAATCTCTGTGACGCACCTCAGGCGGAGGCAGCTACCTCCAGGGCAACTTTTGGAAACGTTTGTCTTCTGAAATACTATTTTATGACAAAAAAAAAATAGGGTGCAGCTTTGATGGGCTGTAAAAAGTCATCACTTCTCAGACTTCCTGAGCAGAAAACAAGTCACCCCAAGAAGAAACACAAAACATGAGCTGGGAACCACAGCAAGGTCTGACGCTCCTTCAGACATGCGGAGAACATCTCCCCTTCCTTGGAGGCAGCCAGGGCGCCATCACGCAACAGCAAAAAGTTGCCTGCAAGGGGGCCAGGCAGCAGCCCTTGCTGAGGGGGGGGTGTCCTGTAATGCCCCCCCCGCAGGGGCAAACATCTCCCCATCTATTTCAAAGGCGAGCGAGACGGCCGGGCAGGCAGGAAGACCCGGCAGGCTTCGCTCTCGTGTTTTTAGCAGCGCAGCGACAAAAGGGGAGTCTGAGCGTGTATTGTTCAGCTGAAAGGCGTGGGCCACATCCACAGCGCAAGAATGCTCAGAAGGGTTTGAGACACTGCGGGCCATTCACAGCGCCAGATACAAACGCTCCTCGAGCACAAAGAGGAATGAGAAAAAAAATTAAATCAATCATGAAGCCCACAAAAGCTAATTTCCTAACGCAAATAGACTGCTGATGATGTGCCTCCAGCCGCTCCTGCGCACCGGGTGAGCGATGCAGCGGGCTCGAGCACCCCAGCTCCGCGCGGAGCCGAACCGGGTCAGCCGTGCTTACCCCACGCCGGGGCGGCACCCAGCTCCAAGGGCAGAGCACGACCCGGGCTGTGCCTGCAGGCAACGCTGGAGCAGC